AAGATGTGGAAACCTAGTATAGTGGAAACTTCCTGATGTTGAACCTAGCAAGGATTTCTACTAATGGAGGGTGCAAAGCATGACCTGGCAATCTTCAGCAACCTGGTAAGGCTTCCACTGTTGGGACTGAGACACCGACCCAGTCACAAAACTTTCAGCTCACACCTATCTGTCCTTCCTGTAGGATGTTCTTGTGCAATGGTGGCTTAGAGTTTGTGGGAGGGGCCAATCAATGACAAATCTAACTTGAGGCCCATGCCATGTGGAGGAGCCCATGCCTGACACTCCCTAGATGGCTAGGAATCAGAAGCTGAATGGCTCAGAGACCTAGGATAGAACCAAACTTGGCTGGCTAAAAATAAATGTAAATAAATTGTCAGTGAATTGTTTGCTAATGGTACTATAAAAACTGAAACAATGAAGTTTGGTACAATAAATATAATGACATAAAATCTTATGTATAGTCAGAATAAAAAGTTAGAAAAAATGATAAACTATTTTCAGTATCTACTCAATTTGATGTGACACTTATTTTATGAGCCATACATTTCATTCCTAAGAGAAACACTGATATACTATCACTTAAAGACATTCCATAAATGATCCATATTATTTAAGAAATAATAGTACCAAGCAAGGTTAGCAACTCACTTTTCAAAGAAACCATTTTATAATGATCTATCTATCTATCTATCTATCTATCTATCTATCTATCATCTATCATCTTTCTATCATTTGTCCATTTTCTCTTTAATTAATCTGTCATTTATCTTTATGTATGAGGTGATGAAATCACAATTATTTATTTCTATTTCTGCTGAAAATGGAACAAATAAAAATAAACTGAAACCATGAGCAAATAAATATGCTTAGAAACTAGATAAAACTTTGTCATGAGAATAGGAACTCAAATTCAAGAGAAGGAAATTATAGACATTGCTCTTTTGATTTAGTTGCAAAATGCCTAAGCAACACTGTATATTTTAAGAGAAGCAAATTGTTCAATTTACCCCCAAATTATTGACTTTTATGTTGTCAGCACAGTTACAATTTAAAAACTTTGCAAAGGCACAGTGCTTTCCAATTATCTAGCAAGACTTCAGTCCCTAAGTAGTATCTGAATTTAGAACAAACAAATCAGGGAAATTTTTAGACAATTGGAGAGAATTCCAGAGTCAATGAAAATGCAGTGACATTTTCAATATTTGTCATTAACCATGGTGATATTTTGTTTGTGATCTAACAAATAAAGCTTCCGTGAAGATGGGGGTGCTGAACTAAGCTACTAGTTAGCCGCAGAGGCCGGACAGTGGTGGCACACATCTTTAATGCCAGCATTTGAAAGACACAGGAAGTTGGAGACCTCTGAGTTCAAGACTGCCGTGGGCTACCCGAGATTGGTCTAAAAGAGAAACAGAGACAGGCAGTGATGGCGCACACATTTTATCCCAGTACTTGGGAGGTGCAAGCCTTTAATCCCAGCACAAGGAAGATGAAGAAAGGAAGAGTTATGGCTGGGCAGAAAGAGGAATATATGGTGGGAGGAGACAGGGGTCCACTGAATTCATTTTGAGGATTCATAGACAGGGACAGAATTGCGTCTTTGTTCTGAGGATTCAGGAGAGGTAAGATTTAGTGGCTGGCTGCTCTGCTTCTCTGAATGTTTGCCATTAACCCGTATACCTGAATCTAGGTTTTTATTATTAAAACCAATTAGAATTCTTGCTACAATCAACTTCATTAAAAATATCTTGAAATGCATTAAACTCTGATGGCTTCATTGCTGACATGTTGTACACACAATAAAGGTATCTACAATCATGTGACCAAAACCACACTTGAATAAAATATTGTCCAGGTGTGTACAATCTTCCCTGAAAGCATGTTTCAAGTTTGCATCTCCATATTTGGATAATCTATTTTCATATGGATTACTGGATCTCTGAGAGAAAGTTTATTCCTTTGAATTAGTGCTTGTTCAAAATATCTTAATGGAGCATGCAAACAGCCCATTTCACTCTATGAAGAAAGACCTAAAAATAAAGTTGCTTATTATCCAGGACATTGGAAATAGGAAAACTACACTAATCTCTGCTTATTAGAAAAAAGAATGCCTGAGTACATAAAGGAGGATAAAATGATAGACAAAGGTAAAGTTGGTAGCACAGAAACTTAGAAATACAAACAAATTCTAGGAAGCAGCTTGAAAATAAACTTTAAAAATGAATTTTGTTAATCTACCTTAGTAAATGTCAACATACACTTTGTACCACAGTTAGGTAATTAAAAAATTATGAACTATTTAGTTTTGTTTAACCAAGGTTAGTTATTAAGTGATATATTATTAATATATCACTTAAATGACTTATGCCTCTATTTTTACTTTTCTAAACAATAATGCTGCCAAACTGCCTTCCTATTATTTGCATTTGTACACATAGACCTTTATGACTCCCATCCTACAAGTTTGAGAAGCTACATCTGGTAGTGGGTATCAGTTAATGCAGAGATTTAAAACTGGTCCAAGTGCTGACAATAAGTATCTGAGAGTGCTTAGCCCTTAAGTACCCTGTCCTAAGATTCAGGATACTCCATGGAAGAGAGAGAAAAAAAATATGCGGGAGCTAAAGGATGGAGATAAGTGTTGTGAGATGCTGATTTTGAGACATAGTCTGGAAGTTGTACTCATGAACTGACATAGAGAAGTGTGCTTACTTACCTCCACAGGACCTACATGAGATGAAGTCATTCAAAACTCTACATAGGAGAATTGGTCAAAAGGCTTTGATGGGGAATGAGCTTCTGTGTCTGTTCATCTTGTTGATTGTTGAATAAAGTACTGTTTGGCCAATGAGGCAGCAATTTAGGCGGGACTAGGAGTTGAGGAGGATTCTGGGAAATGTAGTAAAGAAGTGGTGATCCAAGCAGGAAGTGACACAGCAGGGAGACTCCTATTTAAGGAAGGACAAGCAGGAAGTGGTCCCTTTTCCCCTTGGCTCTTCCTCCAGTGGTGCCATGTGATTGACCGACAAGGGATGATGCCAATGGAAGGCATCTGATAAGATAAGTCTTATAAAATATATAGATTTATGATAATTAAGACTGAACTAGCAGATGAGAAATTCCAGTCATTGGCCAAGCAGCATTTGTACATAATAGAAGTCTCTGTGTATTATTTGGGGCCCTAACTTGGGCGGGCAGCTGGTGGAGACCACACACATGGTGGTAGGGCTCGGGCAGCTTTTGGCGGAAAGATTTATTGTAACAAGGCCTTACTTATCTAAGGAGCTATTGACATTTGTGGTAGCTGGAAAGCCACTTTTCTTGGCAATTATGACCACTGGCAGGTTACTCCTTCACCAGTAGAAGATAATACAGACAGTATTAACTGGACACGGGAAATTTGGAGGGGAACATGGTGGGATATATCATCATTTGAATGGTGAAAGTAGGGGTGGGGTGGATATGATCAAATTATGTTATGCCGATTTGAAATTCCCAAAGAATCACTGAGAATGTAGTTTTAAATGGAATATATTAAAAACAACCAAAAATAACAAAAAGTAGATAATGATAGACAATAATCATCGCATCAGGCCAGCAATTAATAAGCATGAGAAAGCTGTCTATAGAAGAACAAAAAGAAATAAGTCTATTCATAAAGTGGCCATGCAAGACAAGAGGTATCAACTGCCTGGGACATCAACTATAAAACACAATAGTTGCTTCTCTGACATTTCTAGAATACAAAAACTCAGAGCTAACTCTGGCTCTTAGGATCTTTCAGGCCCATCTTCTGTAATCATCCCTGAGCCTTAGGTATAAGGGGTGTGTTATAGATGATTCACTTGGGGCTGAAAATCACTATAAAGTTACTTGTTCTCTTCATTTTGAGGGGTTGTGGTTTTCTGTAATGGTCTATTGTTGCAACGAGAAATTTCTCTGATGAGTGGGGAGAACTGTACTTAACTGTGGTTATAACGGTAAATACATTGAATGCAGTTAGGAAGAAAATACACACACACACACACACACACACACACACACACACACACCTAAAGAAATAGAGGCCATGCTTTTGAATGACAGGAAAGAAGCAAATTAAACCCTTAACTAAAATTGCAATCATTGATGAAACTTGAAACCATCATTTCCTTCTTAAGGCATATTCTCTTACTGTAATGTTAATATACACCTATATTTTTATATTTGTTAAACATTTTATTGATACTTGAATTTTCACTATGTCCACTAGGTCTTTTATAAATATTTCAAATAAATAACCAAATATTATAATGGCAAATATTTATGTTTATAAACAATTTATATATTTGTGTAGATACGCATTCTTTTTTGTAAACCGTCATACATACTATGTACAAACATCTCAATATTAAACATTTTGAATTTTTGGAAACTTATCTTCAACTCACACTGATATAATATGAATCTCAATTCATAAGAAAAGGTTCCATTATGATTCTGATAGTTTCTTTGGAAAATTTACATTGATATAATGAGAAGGAAGAATTTTGTTATTTTTAATGCTAAGTCCAACATAATTAGCTCCTTCCACATTTTATGTTTGGCTGTTTATTTTTTTAAGAGTAACCCTGTTCAAGGACTTTTACCCCAAATGCACAGTTTCCACCTTTGCTCTGCACTTTTCTGTTTCTTGTCAGCATGAAGGTGCTATTCACAGTTATAATCTGCCACTGTAGCTATAATGCTGGGGACAGAATTCAGGCTTTGGAATTCTAGGAAGGAGATGGTTCACAATGTAATCTTTTGCCCCAGTTGTGTCTACAGTTCTTTGCTTTTTTTTGTTTGTTTCTAATGAAAATTGTACTTACTATGGTGAGACTGATCCCAGGGAAGAAAAGAATTCGTACAAAGATACAGATGCTACGCAGGATTTTCTCTTGCCTTCTGATAGCAAAACCTCACTACTTAATATTCATAATATGGAAGAAACACTTTCTCTCATTTTGTTTACTCACTTTTCAGGGATCTGTGTCTAAACAGTAACATTTCCATTTTTCCAGGGAGAAAATGTGGTCTTCAGCACAGAGGATTTGCCATTGTTGCTGATGGAAAGAAGGGGATCATTACATCCATGGTTCAACAGTTGTTCTCAGCTCTCCCAGTTCTCATGCTGTCTTTCTGTTCTGTGAGATAAAGAGAGAGCCTTCTGTAAGTGGGATATGATACGATCCCATATATTTAGTCTATAGGTTACTTCCTTCAGCCACTATAGAATAATTTTCTATAGTATGCATACTCATTTGGATAAAACATAAAAAAATCTATTAGGATTTTTCTAAGTGTGCTTATAAATTCTATTTAAACAGTTCCATAAAATACCCAAGTCTTTAACATTTCTCAACAAATATGTTTTGATGATTTAAAAATAATATATTCATGAAACAAGCAACGCTAGGGAGGTTAATCACTTCAAAAGTCTAATTTAAGATGCAATTATGCATCATTCACTTGGCTTCACAGGGAACTTGAGAAACCCAAATTCAAGTGGGTGTTACTTACAGTGCTTTGTTTCCTGTTTAATTTACTTATTTCACACCTCAATTTTTTTAATCTAAAGTAACTATTTTCTTTAGTCACTTCAAGAAAGTGGTCTCTCTTTTTTGGTAAAAAATTCATGGAAATACAACTAGTTACAATTTTAGTTAATGCTGGAGATTGAGTCTAGGTCTATCACCAAGCTCTCTTTGCAGATGCTCTACATTCTTTAGAAAAGGTTAAAAAAAATTTATGAGCTTTCTGAAAACAGAAGTAGCATTGAGATAATTATTAGATAGATACATCTTTAAATAATAGTAGGCTCTTGTTTCTCTTAGTGGAAACTCATCTAAATTATTGTCTCCTGAAAGATAGATATAGATTTTTTTCATGATTTGATAATTAACACTTATAATATTAAAAATATATCTTCCTTAATATAACTAATGATTTGTGCCTGCATGAACCTCTGGATATACCAAAATAAAAATATTCCTTCTTAGGATTTCTCTACTAAAGATAGAATAATTACCAAATTTTAGAAAGTGGCTCACTTGTTTGGAAGGGGACAGTTCTGCACAATTTATCCATGACACAACACTAGCTATTATTAAATTTCCTAGAAATCAGTAGGGTCTTCCTATTGCTTATATGTTTACCTAGCTAATATTTCTTTTATAGATGAAGGATCTGATCCTTTCATTATTTATATGCTGTGTACTACCAAATTCATTTGTTTTGACAAATGATGAACTAAATAAAAAGTAAAATATCCAATTTCCTAAATATTTTAAATCAATGAGGAAATATATAATTGAAAGCAAATACTTCATTAAAATCGATGGATAAGTTTAGTTTCCACTAACGCTGGTGACCTTAGTTTGGAACCTGAGACTCACATGGTAGAAAAAAAAAAAAAACAGATATTTGCAAGTGGTTCTCTGAGTTCCACATGCATGCAGTGCCATTCATGCACACTTGTACAGATACACAAACACACACACACACACACACACACACACACACACACACACGTAAATACGAAAACAAAAACATACAATAAAAATGTAAAGAATTCATTAAGTTAAAGAGTTGTATCATCAGTAAAGAATATTTGGTCTTCTGACAGACGATAGGGTTCATTACCAGCACCCATATTGTGGCTTTACAACCATCTCTAATTCCAGTTCCTGGGGCTCCTGCACCTACTTCTGGCCAGTGCAGGTAGCAGGAATAACATGGTATACATATATCCATGTAGTAAAATATTTATATGCATAAAATGAAGAATTTATGTGTAAAGGATGAACTTATAACTATTCTCTCAACATATTTAATCAATTCTGATAAATGGTTTGTTTGTGAATACTACATAAAATATATTGTATCTCACAATTCAGCAAGATATGTTGCAACTTGCTAATATTTAAATATTTTTTCTTGATGTGACTTGTTCACTGTTTTTTATAAAAATGATTGAAATGATACCATTGTATAGGCTTTTCTAAAGCAAAACATATCATATATGTTGTGGGTTAATCTTTTTGTACACTGTGAACTTGTGTCTCTGTTTTACCTCATTGGCTTAGAGCACCGTCTGGTTAGTTTAATGAAGAGTTGAATGGCCAATAGTAGGAGAGAATATGTGTTACTTCCTGGGAGGGACAGGAACTGGAGATAAATCTAGGTTCAGGAGATACCAGAGAGATACTGTGGAAATTGGGTGTACATTATGAAGTATAGGTAACAAGTCAAATGGCAGAATGTACATTAATAGAAATGGGTTAATGTAAGTAGTAAAAGCTAGTTGGGAACAAGCCTAAGATAAAGGCCAAGCTTTCATAATTAATAATAAGTCTCAGTGTCATTATTGTGGAGCTGGTCTTCCAACAAGAAAATCCAACTACAAAAATAATTTCTGTGATGAATCTTCACAAGTAAAGGAAATCTGAAATATGATAGAGACACTGTTTCTATAACAGCAAATCTAACACCCATATCATAATATTTTAGGCAGTACATTCAAAAGTTTAATAATCAAACAGTTCTTAAATTCACCACAGAAAACATCCCAGAATTTTGACATTGCTATCACTGACATCCACAACAAGCACTTGGTAACATGGTACCACACAACTTGTTACTCTGGTCTTCAGAACTTCCCCCAGCTTTCACTCAGCGGGTCATTTGGCATTGGAACCCTCACCTGTTCACTGACAGCTTGTCAGTTGTGTTTTGTGTTTCTTTCCTGATGTTTCACGTTGGACAGTTTGAGTGAGGTTGAAGAATGGTTTGAGTTAGAGAAGCCCCTAGGGAATTACTGTGGGAGGTTAAACAATCATAAGTCAGGAAGGGACTGAAATGGAGATGAAAAAGATCATTGTGACAGTTTTCAGGAGGTGAACTCCCAAAAGAGTGTCAGGCCAATGGCTCTGGGAAATCTCTGCTGCACAACAGGGAGGCTAAAGTGTTCTCCAGAATCTACCGTGTTAGAAAGGGCATACACAGTGTTTTGATGAGACTTCTGTCAGGTCATTAAGAACCTACAGCACCCTTTGTAAGACCCCATGCAGGAAAACTTCAAGGTTTAAGAGATAAATCCTCAGTAACTAATGATGAGCATAATAGTTGTGAAAATTTTGAATAAAAATAACACAAAGCAATTGATATGATCCAGAAATTTTCTTATTGTGGGAAATATAACTCGGTCATCTTCTCCCAGATTTTCTTTATCTTCCCATCCATCCACTGTCAGGAAACTTTATTTCTCTTTGTCAGGGAAAAAAAAGGCAGGAAAAAAGGAAAGCAGAATTTAAAAAAAGAAAAATCATGAAACACACTATCATAAAAACACAAAATTGGAAACCATAATATATGTGAAAGACCAGCAAGATTTAAAAAAAAGAAAAGCCCCAAAACAATAGGAAACATAAAACTTCAACAGTAACATTGGATTTGTTTTGTGTTGGCTTTCAAATGCCGGGTATATGTTCCTGGCCATTAAAACAGTGTCAAGAACTGGTTCCTCTCATGGGTTATGCCTTATATGCAATCAAATAGTACTTTTATTATTTCAACAAAAAGAGGAAACTTTATCCACTATGAGGCAGCCCTTCTAAGTTTTTGTTGATACAATATTTCCTCAAAATTCCCCATTCTCCCATTCAAGTTCACAAAAAAATACAATGTATCCAAAGGGGGAAAGATTATTATATTTCAATTGTTTTAGTGATTTCTGACAACTTGTCCAGAAATCTATCCAGGTAATGTTTCCTAGTCCTGTTACAATAAATCTTTCTGCCAAAAGCCGCCTGAGCCCCACTGCCATGTTTGCACTTTACACCAGCCGCCTGCATGAGTTAGGCCCAAATGAATACACAGAAACTTGTATTAGGTTCAAAGCTGCTTGGCCAATGACTAGGACTTCTCATCTGTTAGCTCAGTCTCAATTATCATAAATCTATATATGTTATAAGACTTATCTTATCTGGCGCCTTATTGGTGTCCCTCCTTGCTGGTGGATCACATTGTGCTGCTGGAGCAGGAGCGGAGGGGAAAAGAGGCACATTTTCTGTTTCCTCGCTTAGATATGAGTCTCCTTGCCATGTCACTTCCTACCTGGATCATCACTTCTCTACTACATTTCCCAGAATCCTCTTTGACTCCTAGTTCTTGCTTGCCATTGTCCAAACAGTATTTTATTCAACAATCAATAAGATAAACATACAAAAAAGTACATTCCCCATCATAGACCCATTCTATTACCAAAGGAAATACAATAATACCAAACACTGAAACTAGATTAATTACATGAGGAATAATCTTTCATGCACAGTAAATTCCCTATTAAAGGACATACTATCTGCATTAGTTTCCTTTTCATTCCTGTGACAAAGTGGCTGACAAGAGACAATTTAAGGGGCAGAGAGATGGCTCGGCACATGCAAGTTCCTACTGCTCCATCAGAGGACACAAATCCACTTCCCAGCACCCACATTGAGTAGCTTTGCTATCTGTGACTCCAGATGCAGATTTTCCACCCCTCTTCCAGTTTCAATGGATACTGCATTCACACACATAAACCCATATAAAGACAGACACATACACAAATAATCAATATTACTATTCAAAACATGTTTTAAAAAAAGAAAGCAAGAATGGTTAATTTTGGTTCATAGTTCAAGCATACTTCAAGTGAATATAATCCACCAAATTAGGAGAGGCCTGGAGGCAGGCCAGGGAGGGAGATTGTTGATCACATTGCATCACCAATCACGTAGCAGAGACAGAAAGTTGAGACAGCTATGGGAGCTCAAAGCCCATCCACTTATCAACTTCCTTCAGCAAGACTTCTCTTCCTAGAAGTTTTCAACAGCAACACTAGGCAAACTAATTTAAAACACAAGCATATGAGATTTTTTTTATCCAAATTAGAGTCTAAAATATTATGACAATTGTAACAATATTATTAATGTTGACTAGCTTAAAGTCATTTGTGTGAAAGTTCAAAGCGTTTCCTTGTCATACTGAATGACAGACAATAAACACAATTAGCAGTTACAGCTTATAGTCTCTCAGCCTCATCTTTCTAGTTTCAGCAAGTTAGTAAGCATTCTTTGAACAATAAACTTATGTTGGGAGAAAAAAATAGTGTACAAACATTAAATTATGCTCTTAATAGACTCTGCTGTCTTTTGGAAGCAGACATGGAATATGCAAGTATCATATAATATACCAATAGAGAATATATCATATCTGTGTCTGTTCTCAGTGCGTAGGAAGAGAAGAATGAAGAGCACTATCTGGTGGAGTTGCGATTTTCATCAATGTTAGGAGAGAAGGTTTTCATAGTAGTGTGATTTTTAAGCCTAATAGAAGGTATCTTATGCCTAAAGGACAGCATTCTAGAAAAAATCTTCCTTAAGTGAGATTGCTACAGGCAAATAGAAGGTCAGAATATTGGTCATGGTGGAAGAGTAGAGTGAGTCAGTCAGCGGCAGTAAACCACATAGACGGCATTGCTACATAGCATAGATGTGCCAAGAAACCAGATACTCAAAGCCAAGCTTAGTGGGGTTTCTTTAGATAAAATTCTAACACAGAGCATGAAAACACAATGTTTTTTACAGCAAGATATCCTTCTATAAATTCAATTGACCAGATTTTATTATATGTGACTTTTATATAGTGTCTCTTGCCTGTTATGGAGTAGTCATTAGTCATCCTGTGCAAAAGTAGCATTTCCAGTTACGGCAAGAAATTACCAATATGGGGCCAGGTAGAAATACAAGGGATTTTAATAGGGAAAAAGCCTTACTTACAGAGCGACCTAGCCAGCTGGTGGGCAGCAGTCTGTACAGCAAGCCGAAAGTGAAACCGAAACCAGAAACCAGCCACCTGATCAACTCTCACTCTAAGTCACCCTGACCAAGTCCTTTCAGGCATGGTCAGGCACACCTTTAGCCAGCTCCTAAGCAGGTGTGACTACAGCTTCCCCTACATCCAGTAATTGAGATATTGTTCAATGCTTGTTGTTCTTACAAAGAACCAGAGTTTACTTCCCAGCACCCATGTCTAGCTGCTCACAGCTGCCCATAACTCCATTGCCAGGGGCTCTGACACCATCTTCTGGAGTCCAATGGCATCCTTATGCATATGCCAGTGTACACAGACACATTCCCTTTAAAAAAAAAAACTTATAAACAGCAATTTCCTAGAACTTTGTACGTTACTAGAAAGAAGAGTTAAAGTAGAGCTGAAAATGCCAAAAACAATTTTTTATACAGTAAAGAAGGTTAGAAAATAAATGCAAATTGTATCAAATGTGATTTTGTAGAAACACAAACAGGATTGCCACAAGAAATATGGATACACTTTCTTTAGGTAATGAGCTTCAGGTGCCATTCATAATCCAAGCACAGGTGTGTTGAGCCCCAGTAGCCTCTCATTTTCCAAGTGTCAGGGAAAATTCTCAGCTGGAATTCATTTCTGACAATCTTCACTATATAGGAGGCAGCTGAAACTAGGAAAGTAGACGTCATGATTTGGATAAAGCAGAGCTGAAGATAGAATCCAAACCTAAGTTAACATTTGTGAAAACAGAGAAAGGAAGAAAGTGAGCTTTGCTCTCAGAGTTCCCAGGGAAGATGATGAATTAGAAACACTATATTTGGAAAGGGGCCTGCAATCAATTACAGTTATTTTCTCACCATCTGTGTTATGTTGTTCAGGGTTCCTTAAAGGTAAGAAATTCAGTGATGCTCATGCCCTGTACAGAATATGACTTGGAACCTATGCTTGTATTTTAATTCACCCCAAACTACCTATAACACATACTGCAGGGTGAATGCTCTGGGGAAAGTTTATTCATGACTAATAACAGTAAGAAAGTCTACAAACTGTGTACATAAAAGCACACACTTTTTTTTCTCATAATCTCACCTGAAGGTCCAGAAGACAATGAAAAAGAGTGGAGAGGAGAGACTTTTGGCTAGATTCTACAATCAGTAATGCTCATGTTTTACAATGTGGACTTCATTCTTCAACATGGATGTAATAAATTAAGAATTACAATGTATTAATTACTATGTTTTTACTGCATATTATATTTTAGTAAAACAAAACCCCACAAAATATAGTACTTAGGTGTATACAGGTAATGTATAATACACTTATACATTCAACTGGCACTCATTAAAACAATAGAACATATATAAATAAAGTGCCTGAAATTTTTCATATTTACTTAAGTTTCGAGAATATAAGTCAAATGTCACTAGGAAAGATATTTTTTAATAAACTAATGTATAATTTTATCTAGTGAATGGGATATATGTGTATAATCTATATTGTGTATAATGTTATATATGAATACTTATGAGTATAATATATGAATAAACAATATATATTATACACACATATGTGTGTTCTATACATAAAAATCACTTTGAATATGATATACATTCTCTTTTTATTGCTGTAAATTCTATGCAAATACTACATGTGGGTATTCCTGCATCAAGCAACTACAGACACACATAACAAGAATTAAATTGCTTCTCAAAATTTGTCATCATGAAACCTTTACAAATGTAATTGGTAATGATCCAGAACTGATTATGACATTGATGCATCTATGGTTTGGCAGCAGTCAGAAACTGTGTAACAGATAAAAGTTGAAGATTGTATTTTTGTTGGGGAAATCTTATTTGATGGAGGATGCTACAGATGGCAAACACTGTATCCCTTCCACTCTTATGTTCTTCAGCTAAACCACAAGTGATCTGCATCACTGAAGAGGGGAACAGGGCAAGAATTTGATATTTTCAGGTCACACATCATGCTTCTGAAATGAGTTTTATTTGCTTTTTAATCACAGACCAAATAAAAAAGAGGCTCCGCTGTATGTAGTTTCTTTAAAATATCAGCCTGTGAGTCATGCGTAGTCAAATTCCCTGGAGAGAATTTAAGAACCAAGGACTCTGAGGGTGACAGAAGAAAAGCTGCTGATTTTTCCATTGGCCCATATTTTCACTGATGCGTAGAGCTCCTGTAACTACAGTTATGAAAAGGAGTGTATTTATTATCAACTTCACCCCCTATGGTTGAGTAGCAATTGTTTATATGTTTCAATAATAAATTATCCAATAACATATATTGTTGAACATTTCCTAATTCAAACATTTATTTACATTTGTATATTATTTATTTATTGTTTCTCTGTTTCTAGGTTTTCCTGGAAGCATAAAGCTAAATACAATTATCATATTATTTCTTAATCATATCACTCCCTTGAGTTGCTAATTGCACTGAATGTTGCGACATACAGGCAAAGGAAGAAAGGGAAGTTTTAGTTCTTTTTGTTGTTGTTCTTTTTTTTAGTTTTATTTAAATTAGAAACAAGCTTCTTTTACGTGACAATCCCAGTTCCCTCTCCCTTCCCTCCTCCCCTGTCCCTGACAGACCTATCCCCTATTCCAACCCCTTTCTGCTCCCCAGGGAGATTGGTTCTTTTAAGCCAGGGTTTCTCTGGGTAGGAGCCATAGGTTTCCTGGAACTCACTCTGTAGATCAGACTGGCCTCAAACTCACATAGATCCCTCTGCCTCTGTCTTCCAAGTGCTGGGATTAAAGGTGTGCATGACCACAGTTTTAGTTCTTATTCTACTTATTTCATCTTTTTGGACAGTAACTGTAGAGAGTATAGAATGTGTGAATGAAGAAGTCAACAGAGTTCTATGTCATATTTTTACTTTCCCATGCATTACTGGAAGGAACAGATTACTTCATTTGTTTAATTCAATTGAACTTATACAAGACTGTTGTGAACAGTTACATTCAGATAAATGATTTAAATGTCCCACCACAAAGAACAATGTGAATACCTTGTATCATGAAAGAAAGAATAAAAAAGAAAGCACACGGTAATACCAGTAGTATAATATTGACCCTTTGTGGAAGCTTCTCACAACTAGGGGTTTTACTAATCTAATCTTCTATTTTACTTCCAAGTCCTCACTCACCCCAACCCTTGAAGGAACAACATATTTAACTTTAGTACAAAGTCTGCAAGAATAGTTGAGTTTTTCCTTTTACTTAAAAATATCATCTAAATGGACTTAGTTCATAGGCGTTTAAGACTACAGTCTATGTTCACTAAAGTAGACCAACAACCTAAAATAGGTTTTCCTATTTCAATCATTCATAGTTTAAATCCTTTGAGAATTTATATTTTAAAATGTTTTCTGTAGTCTCTGAGACATCCAGAACATGATTTTTCAGTGAATCAACAATTATTGACACTATGTCCACGGTGAGAAGACATTCTTCATTATCTCTTATTCAATTCTAACTAATATTACTCTGAATTACACAACTGAATTTATCAGGGATTCTGAATTAACATAAAAAATAATGAAGAAAATAAAATGAATAAAGATATGGAAGTAAAAAAAAAAAGCAATCAACATAGCTGACACTATTTGGGTGTCCACAAACCAGAGACTAGATAGCCCAAAGACGATGTAGGGTAAAAAGTAAATAAAGTAGTGGTAAAATGGCTCTTTGTGTTATACTTCTATACTCATAGATCAGTGCCTAAATCAACCATCATCAGAGAAGCTTCATCCTGCTGCTGATGGAAACAAATTCAGAGACATACAACCAGAAATTAGGCAGAGAGAGAAAGAGACAGGGAGACAAGAGAGGGGGGAGAATAAACAGCTCCTCTAAATGGGATGTTTCAATCAAACCCCTCCCTTCAGAGATCAGGGATTCTCACTGAAGGGGAGATGAAGAGCCAGAGGGAAGGTAGGACACTAGGAGGACAAGGCCCTCTAAATCAGCTGAGCAAACTCACATACTCACAGAGGCTGAAGCAGCAAGCACAGGGCCTTTGTGGGTCTGCATAGGTCCTTTGTGTATATATTATAGTTTTCAGTTTAGTGTTTGTTATGGAACTCCCGAGTGTGTGAATGAGTGGCTCTGTGATTCGTGTGTCTACTCATAGGTTTGGGCATTTTTCTTCTGTTGGTTTGCCTTGTCCAACTTTGATGTGATAGTTTTTGTTTTGTCTCATGTTTTATTTTGTTATGATTTATTGTTTTCTCTTAGAAGTTTATTTTTTTAATGAAAGACAGAAAGGGAAAGCATCAGGATGGGAGAGGAAGTGGAGAGGAGTAGAAGGAGGAGAAAATGTAATCAGGACATATTGTATGAGAAAAAGAATCTATTTTCAATAAAAGGGAATAAATAAATCATAACTAACAAATAAATAAATAGGGAAGACAAAAATCAACATAGAAATTACTCAAATCTAAATTTAAATCCATTTCCACTATCAAATTCTCATGGAGATTTTAAAATACTGGTCTAAAATCATTTATTTTTTTAAAAAAACTACAAGTTATTACAAAAGAAACTTTTTCCCAAGACTTTATCCATCCAACAGTTGCAACTTGGCTTTTAGATACCGTAATCAGGGTATCTTTAATTGAAGTGCTGTAATCTATTCAGTATTTTCCTTAACACCACTGATTTGATGAGTACATCTCAAAACCATTCCTGATTAAAATCTTTTATGTTACATAATAATAATAATAATAATAATAATAATAATAATAATAATAATAATAATAATAATAATAATAATAATAATAATAATAATAATAATAATAATAATAATAATAATAATAATAATAATAATAATAATAATAATAATAATAATAATAATAATAATAATAATAATAATAATAATAATAATAATAATAATAATAATAATAATAATAATAATAATAATAATAATAATAATAATAATAATAATAATAATAATAATAATAATAATAGAGAATAATATACTAATCATCTATACACA